TCTTACCATGACACTTTCATACGTGTTCACGGGTAATATTCTTACCATGACACTTTCATACGTGTTCACGGGTAATATTCTTACCATGACACTTTCATACGTGTTCACGAGTAATATTCTTACATGACACTTTCATACGTGTTCACGAGTAATATTCTTACCATGACACTTTCATACGTGTTCACGAGTAATATTCTTACCATGACACTTTCATACGTGTTCACGAGTAATATTCTTACCATGACACTTTCATACGTGTTCACGAGTAATATTCTTACATGACACTTTCATACGTGTTCACGAGTAATATTCTTACCATGACACTTTCATACGTGTTCACGGGTAATATTCTTACCATGACACTTTCATACGTGTTCACGAGTAATATTCTTACCATGACACTTTCATACGTGTTCACGGGTAATATTCTTACCATGACACTTTCATACGTGTTCACGGGTAATATTCTTACCATGACACTTTCATACGTGTTCACGAGTAATATTCTTACCATGACACTTTCATACGTGTTCACGAGTAATATTGTTTACGAGTTATTCTTACCAGGACACTTTCATACGTGTTTACGAGTAATATTCTTACCATGACACATTCATACGTGTTCACGAGTAATATTCTTACCAGGACATACGTGTGTTCTAATATTCTTACCATGACACTTTCATACGTGTTCACGAGTAATATTCTTACCATGACACTTTCATACGTGTTCACGAGTAATATTCTTACCATGATACTTTCATACGTGTTTACGAGTAATATTCTTACCATGACACTTTCATACGTGTTCACGAGTAATATTCTTACCAGACCATTTTTCAGATATGTTATAGCATAATATGCTTTCACATCGCTTTCAGATGTGTAGCAAGGTAATAATATTCTTTTATGTCGCTTTCACATTTATGCTAGAGCAGTATTCTTTCATATCGTTTCCATATGAGTGAGTGAGTGAGTGAGTGGGTTTAGTTTAGTTTTACGCCGCACTCAGCAATATTCCGGCTATATGACGGCGGTCTGTAAATAATGAAGTCTGGACCAGACAATCCAGTGATCAACAGCATGAGCATCGATCTGCGCAATTGGGAACCGATGACATGTGTCAACCAAGTCAGCGAGTCTGACCCCCCGAGCCCCTTAGTCGCCTCTTACGACAAGCATGGGTTACTGAAGGTTCATTCTAACCCGGACCTTCACGGGTTCGTTTCCATAACCATGTGTATGTTGTTGAGTAGTTTTCCTTCAGATGTGTAGTGGAGTAATGTTTTTTCATATCACTTTCAGTGGCGGTGGTGTAGCCTTGTGGTTTAAGCGTTCGCTCGTCACGCAGAAGACCCGGGTTCGATTCCCCACATGGATATAATGTATGAAGCCCATTTTAATGTTTCAAACGTTTTGCATGTTGATTCTGTGCATGTTTGTTACAAGCTGTTTTGCACATTCCGATGTGGCGTGGAAATTGTCGCTCATATATAAACTCATTTCTCTGAAGGTAGGCGTTTCAAGCGATAGCCTTTTCAGTGCTAGTTTAGGTAGACCGGCGCCCAATTAATTTGTTTTATTGTTGCATAGGGACAGATTTCGTTTAGGTTGCATCCACGAGAAATTTCGAGGTGGTTTAGATAGGAATAAAATCGAGAGAAACGTTTGCAATAAATTTGATCTTTGCAAGAAACAGAACAATCAGCTCGAAATTTGGGTTTACGGTTATTTCTCCTGTGAGAATTAATGTGGGGAAATACAGACATGCGGAACTACGGATTGTCATTCCCAGGGGAAATTAATCAATCTGTCAGATTGATACCCCAAGGAAAGATAGCCACGTGTCAACATGTCTACACGATCAGTCTATCTTTATAAGTCCATACATGATAACTATTTCTGTCTGTAGAAATGATCAGGTATTTCTGTCTATGTCTGTATAAATGATCACTATGTCGCTATATGTCCATACGAGAGGCGGCGGGGTAGCCTAGTGGTTAAGTGTTTGCTCGTAACGCCAAAGAACGGCTTCGATTCCCCACAAGGGTACAATGTGTGAAGCGGAAAAAAAAGAAAAATACTATGTCAGCTTTTGCGTTATTTCTACATTTATGTAGCTATATAGGAGACTTATGTCCAGGTCAAACTATCCTCCATATTTGGTGTTTAGTTAAATGTTGTAAAATAACGCATTGTCATCACGGTGGTATATTGCCAAAACGCAACCTCGTCACGGAGAGGCCTTTGCTACCAGACAATGTTGACAGGGTGGTACAATACTATAAACATATAGTTGTCACGGTGATAATTTACACTAATGCATCGTTGTCACGGTGGAACATTACTCTTCTGTTGACACGATGGAACATTTCTCTTCTGTTGTCACGGTGGAACAATACTCTTCTGTTGTCATGGTGGCACATTGCTATTCTGTTGTCACGGTGGCACATTGCTATTCTGTTGTCACGGTGGCACATTGCTATTCTGTTGTCACGGTGGAACAATACTCTTCTGTTGTCACGGTGGAATATTTCTCTTCTGTTGTCACGGTGGCACATTGCTATTCTGTTGTCACGGTGGAACAATACTCTTCTGTTGTCACGGTGGAACATTTCTCTTCTGTTGTCACGGTGGCACAATGCTATTCTGTTGTCACGGTGAAACATTACTCTTCTGTTGTCACGGTGGAACAACGCTGTCAACACCATGTTCATCATACAGGTAAGGAGAGGGATGACAACATGGCCCATATGACTAACGCGGAGTCTACGGTAGATGCGGGTGCTTCAGTATGTCAACAGTGCCGGCTGGATGGCGACAATATAACTTTACCTGAACAGATTTATCACTGGCTGTGATGATGCTGACAGCGTGTATCACAGCGAATTACCACAGATGCTTCGGGCCGTCAGCCACTTGACAATTACAGGCATTTTTGTGATCCATATATTTACGAAAGAAAATGTAAAAGATTTAATATCTCATTATATTAACCACTTGACAATTAAAAGGCATATTTGTGATCAATATAAAGTTGTTTAACAAACGACCATAGATTCAAATCGCTATTATTGGTTTGTATTACCAGGAGGTGTGCACATTAAATGAAACACCGAGAACAAGTAGGGTTGGTCTAGGTTAACGCGCATCACGTACTGCACGTGCATTTGTTTCACTGTTCCAACTACTGAGCTTACCCCCTTGTCATACAAACCAATAACAGCGATTTGACTCTAAACAACTTTTATCGTAAGTTAAATAAAATTCTGAAATTTAAATGTTCAATTGGCAAGGTTAAATTATGAGGATTCGCAATCTTAATTTCACTTTATTTTATTTACTCTTTTGTTTAAAGTGAAATTCATCGGTTCGTTTTCACTGCAAACAGACTATACAATGAGGTGAAGCCTGTCTGAGTTGAGTTGAGTTGAGTTGGGTTTTGCGTCACATCGGCATTATTCCAGCCATATAGTGACGAGAACAAGTTTGCATTAATAAACATTGTAAGTACATACTCGGAATGAGTTTTATTTCAAAAACATATATTCATTACATTGTCATTTAAAAGCAGAAAAAGTCATAGCATCAAATTTAATAAAAAGCCTGTCTGAAGCTAAAATGTACTGTTAAGTGTTCTGCAGACTTCCCTGGAACATCGTCGGAATGTGAGCTTCGATATGACGGTGACACAACATGGGTGAATATTACTTTATGCCGCATCAAATTTGCCACGAACACAAACTGTAAATTGATTCTAAGAACTGTGCTTAGTTTACGTTTAGCAACTACATTAAAATGCCAGGTGTTGAGGCGGCTTAAAATTGTTAATGTACTTAAATCGTTAGAAATACACTGACTGTAAAAACATTCTCTTAAATTTCCCATTTCCAACATTCTAAAACACTTAGCTGTTAACACACCCTAAACACCTCCACTTCCCTGTACTCTGCATGTGTATGCAGCAACAATAGCTGCGGCTGAAGATGGATTGATGTAATTAATGACACCCACTCCAACAATGGTTAATCTCGACTGTGTGGTCGCGTACATCGCCGGGGGCAAGGGTTATTTGCGAGTTGTATGCAACTATCATTTTCTTTGAAGCCGTGACCCAAATTTAATTTCCTTGCCGAAAATCTGGAAGCGAAATGAAATGACGATCGCCTTCATTAGGACTCTGATTTCAGGTTGAAGGTTATGTTTCTATACCAATTTATCGAAAGAGTGTCAGGATCGAGTAATGATAAGACGCTGTATATTTCAAGTTTAGAAACAAATTATTTTTTCAAAGATGTACATTTTTGATAAGTGTATCGTGTTTATCTGACCAGAATATACACGTGTATCATTTCAGGAAGAACCAGCAAAACTTATTGGGCGTGTAATGATTGCAGTGCAGATGTGTTTCACGAGCGTTTGCACTGCCTGGCCTCAATTTGAAAGGTAATCATTAAATTTAAATCCCCGTATCGTCTGCTATTACCGTCGTCTGCTCACCGGCCGGGATGTCTGGTGGATTTTGGCGCGTACAAGCCAAGCTCGTGAGTGACGCTCGCGCATGCCCGAGTCATCTCGCACGAGGTGACAGAGACAACAGTTTGCTATTGTCCCTCCCCAACCCCTGTTACATGCACCTCTTCCTGTTACCCATCACCCCCATCCCCGTTACTGCGCGGCCCAACTTGCCGATATGCCCCCTCAGGCAAGCTATTCTTCGGTGACATTACATCGACATCCCACCCTGAGAATAGCGCAGTCAGTTATCAAACCATGATAGGCTTGGCCCAATTACCACTTAGTTGAGGCTGTAACACGAAATCCGCGTCTTGAGGGATATTTTCACAGCCCCATAGGAGTGAAAACACACTCGAGTTGAAGTCAACACGCGATCAGTGACTGAACAGAATAAATTTGATCAGAGCGACCCGAGATTTGCTCGGAGAAATCTGATAGAACAACTGCAGCGGAGTCAGGAACTCCGACAACCTATCACCCCTCTCCACTCACTTGGACTCGCCCCGCATCAGTAAGCGTGTCGTGAAATATCATTCCGCTTAGTGTAAGCATTGTATCGAGGCTTGAGTGTGTTGTGAGGTGTATGTGGGACACTAGTGTACCCGAGCTGTGCTGTGAGACTCTGACAGTGGTGACACTGTGCAGTATCCCCTCCCCAAACGACCAGGAGTACATGAGAAAAGGGGAGAGGACTCGGCGTTCATGTCGTGACTTCCATTGTCCTGCTGACTGGGATCGACCGAGTTTAACCAGTGATCCTGCGCCCGTCAGACTGGCCGCGACTACCCCACTGAGCAGTCACAGGGAGGCATGGGGGATTACTCGGCCCCCAAAAGACGAGATGTCGTAGACCGTCTCCGTAGGCGTCTAGAACACTATCGGCAACACCAGCTGGGGCGGCACCGGCGTTTCAACGAGGGATACTCCGGACTTTATGAGGAACATCGTCAGCAAACACAACTCCTGCACCACCGCTGGTTGGAAAGTAAGGCCAAGAAGGCCGCGAAACAGTCCAAAGTCAAACAAGACAGCACCACTCAAGGCGACCATCGCAACCTTGTAGTGACGGTAAGTTTTGTTTTTACCGGAAGGCAGTCGTAGTGGTCAAAGTGGACGCTCCGCGGTACATTGGGTCATGCCAGTGGGAGGGTGAAAACAACCTGCCCTCCCCCATCGCAGGTCCTCGCGCCAGCTAGCATACCACCAAAATAATGTGTGTCGAGTCTCTGCTGTGTACATTAGATCGCTCTTGTGCTAACCTGTATCCATGCGCGCTTATTTACATTTTCATCCGATGTGCCTGTCTCGACCTTCCCAAGCCCGTTTCAAAGTTTGAGCGCTCACCGTAAAATCACTGACGAGGGAGATCGGTGTAGTGCGACCAGCTAAGCGCATTCCCACGCTAGCCGAGCGAGCGGCTACACACATAAACAACAAAGATATTACGCTGAATGTCGACTGCTCTGACTCAACCAGGCTGGGAAAATCGCTTGCTGAATGCACTGTACATAATACCTATACCCGTGATTGGCCATACTCGGGGCAGAAGCTGCCATTAAAGGCGGTCCATGGGGTGGTAGTTATTACCCGTGTTCGCAACCCCCAACTTTGTGAACGATCATCTCACGGAGAAGTTTCACTCTCACGTCTTTCCCAGCTTGCAAGTCGACCGATTTCAATAGGTGTATATAAGATATTTACTTTGTCAATAGGGATCCGCCCTGCCCCTCGTATGGGTGAATGTTGACGATGAAGTATTTGTTGTTGATATACTTCATGAAGGTATTCACAATCCTTCTGTAGCCTGTGGGAGGTTACTCTTACTTCCTGAATGTGTTGAGAGATCTGTAAGTGCCATCCAGTGGCAAAAGAGCTTACAAAACAACCAATCGTCCTCATTGAATTAGCTGTTGACCTAAAACCGTCACACTAAATAATCTTAGCGCTAAGGTGATCACCACTCCAATACTTTATAACATAGACTTGACAGTCATAGCATTAAGTCACTGTGTGGAAAGGTCTGACAGAGTAAGATTCATGTCAGGAAGGTCTGCTGTGGATGATGCCAGATTATCATGGATGGTATTAATGCTAATAGTTTGACAGTGGTAGAATATGTCGTGTGCTAGGCTTGCCATTTACACCAGCTGATGATGACAGTGATGATAATAGCCCACCCACACCAGCTGTAAGTCATGTGTGATCTCACCAAGCTGACCATCTGGATGTTTCAACACAATACATGACGATGTCCACTGAAGGTTCAATCTGTATATATCTGCATGACATCTTTGTCTCCATAGTGAATTGGAATGATGGTTGGTAGTATAGGGTGTTAAACTGACGGAGCGTGATATCTGTACACAGTATGGATGTTAGGGAATGGACTGTGATGATATATTGTGTGAACATGTTTTGCATGTAAGAATGTTATGTGATGATGGTTTACAGTGAGAGAATATTGTGTGACAGTGTCATAGTGTGAGAATGTTATATGACAATGTCAGTGTGAGAAAATTTTGTGACAATGTCATAGTGTCAGAATAGTGACACTGTTGTATAGCGTGGGAATAGTGACACTGTTGTATAATGTTGTGGTGAGAATAGTGACAATGTTGTATAGTGTGGGAGAATAGTGACAATGTTGTATAGTGTGGGAATAGTGACAATGTTGTATAGTGTGAGAATAGTGACAATGTTGTATAGTGTGGGAATAGTGACAATGTTGTATAGTGTGAGAATAGTGACAATGTTGTATAGTGTGGGAATAGTGACAATGTTGTATAGTGTGAGAATAGTGACAATGTTGTAAAAAGTGACAATGTGTGAGAATAGTGACAATGTGTGAGAATAGTGACAATGTTGTAAAAGTGTGTTGAATAGAATAGTGACAATGTTGTATAGTGTGAGAATAGTGACAATGTTGTATAGTGTGTGTAGCAGAATAGTAGTGACAATGTTGTATAGTGTGAGAATAGTGACAATGTTGTATAGTGTGAGAATAGTGACAATGTTGTATAGTGTGTGAGAATAGTGACAATGTTGTATAGTGTGAGAATAGTGACAATGTTGTATAGTGTGTTGTATAGTGACAATGTTGTATAGTGTGAATAGTGACAATGTTGTATAGTGTGAGAATAGTGACAATGTTGTATAGTGTGAGAATAGTGACAATGTTGTATAGTGTGAGAATAGTGACAATGTTGTATAGTGTGAGAATAGTGACAATGTTGTATAGTGTGAGAATAGTGACAATGTAGTAGTATTGTGTGACAGTGTTGTGTGATGTGAAGTCTGCATGTGTTGTGTGACAATGTTGTATAGTCACATGTGACAATGTCATATAGTGTGAAATTGTTGTAATGGTTGTTTGATGAAATTGTATAGCGTGAGAATGTTGTGTAATTGGGCTACGGTGAGGGTGTGACACATTGAAGTGACAGCATGAACATATTGATGGTATGTGTGACTTTGATGCTATACCTAATTCCAGCGACATGAAAGGCTTCACACCACAGTATGGACAAGACAGTCTAGTGAATGATAATTATGACCATTGATACATGCAACTGGAATCTGATGACAGGCAAGCAGCCAAGTCTGACCTCTGCTCTATGTACACCTCTGCAGGGACACGGTTTGGTAGCTGGGAACATTGTATTCTTTACAGTTGAGAATGTTTGGAGCGTGATAAGGTATAGTGTGAGAAAGTTGTATAGTGTGACAGTGTTGTGTGAGTGTTGTGTAGTGTGACGACATTGGATGGTGTGACAGTGTTGTGTAGTGTGACGACATTGGATGATGTGACAGTGTTGTGTAGTGTGAGGACATTGTAAGGTGTGACAGTGTTGTGTAGTGTGAGGACATTGTATGGTGTGACAGTGTTGTGTGAGGATGTATGTTGTGTGAGTGTTGGGTAGTGTGAGAACATTGTATGGTGTGACAGTGTTGTGTAGTATGGATGAGTTGTACTTAGAGGATATTGTATGAAAATGTGTATTGAGAGGACATAGCAAGGAAATGTGCAGCATGAGGGTTTTGTATAATATGACAGTGCTATGTAGTGTGAGGATGTGAAGTGTGACAGTGTTATGTATTGTATCAGTGTTATGTATTGTATCAGTGTTGTGAAGTGTGACAGTGTTATGAAGGTGTTAGTGTTAGTATTGTGTCAGTGTGTAGTGAAGTGTGACAGTGTTGTGAAGTGTGTGTAGTGTTAGTGTTGTAAATTATGACAGTGTTATGTATTGTGTCAGTGTTGTGAAGTGTGACAGTGTTATGTATTGTATGTAGTGTTGTGAAGTGTGACAGTGTGTTAGAAGTGTGACAGTGTTATGAATTGTGTTAGTGTTAGGAATTGTGACAGTGTTATGTATTGTGCCAGTGTTAGGAATTGTGATAGTGTCATGTATTGTGTCAGTGTTGTGAAGTGTGACAGTGTTGTGAAGTGTGAGGACATTGTATAGTGTTTCAGTATTGTATTGGGAGGACGTTACGTCTGACTGTGTTGTGCCTTGTGTTGTTTGGGGTCACTGTGTAGTGTTTTCTGTAGTAGTATGGTTGCTGTTGTGTGATAATTTATAGGATTGTAATGTTTTTTGAGAATATTATATTGTGTGATGACAATGTTGTGTGACACGATTGTGTGATACTATAGTGTTGTGTGGTGATTTAATGATATTATGCTTGTGAAAACAGCATGATGTGTGAGAATGTTTATTGTGTGTTTGTCTTAATTTGCTTGAATTTTTTTTTACGAGAATATATCTTTGTGATTTGTGCTGCGAAGTATGTAACAAGTTTGTAGTTGGACCTGTATGCTGTGGTCTGGGAAATATGTGGGTGTATGCAGTTAGCTGAAGGTTGTGTTAGGTTGAACACATTATTGTGGCCTTGTATCAAACACAATCTTCCCAAACAACAACAATTTACCCCTTTGAATGGGTGTAATTGACCTGTGTATCACTAACAGTGTTGGTCTGGATGATGTGTGCCAGGTAACAATGCTAATTCTGGTTGACCTAAGGTTTCAGTTACAGTGACATTGCATATGCATGGTAAAACCAATGCGTGGTGCACGCCTTTGGACTTCTTAATGTAAACATATTAATATTGACTATTGGCTGTTCCGATGAGAAGGTGCTGTGAAGGATATTGATGTTGAGTATCATGTATTATATCTTTGGGTAGTTCCTTCTTGCTGTAAAGGATCTCTGGATAGTTCCTTCTTGCTGTATATAGGATCTCTGGATAGTTCCTTCTTGCTGTATAGGATCTCTGGATAGTTCCTTCTTGCTGTATATAGGATCTCTGGATAGTTCCTTCTTGCTGTATAGGATCTCTGGATAGTTCCTTCTTGCTGTATAGGATCTCTGGATAGTTCCTTCTTGCTGTATAGGATCTCTGGATAGTTCCTTCTTGCTGTATAGGATCTCTGGATAGTTCCTTCTTGCTGTATAGGATCTCTGGATAGTTCCTTCTTGCTGTATAGGATCTCTGGATAGTTCCTTCTTGCTGTATAGGATCTCTGTAGTATAGGATCTCTGGATAGTTCCTTCTTGCTGTATATCTATAGGATCTCTGGATAGTTCCTTCTTGCTGTATAGGATAGTTACTTCTGCTGATAGGATTCTTTCCTTCTTTGCTGTATAGATCTCTGGATAGTTCCTTCTTGCTGTATAGGATCTCTGGATAGTTCCTTCTTGCTGTATAGGATCTCTAGATAGTCCTTTCTTGCTGTAAAGGAGGATCTTCTTTGCTGTATAGGATCTCTGGAGTTCCTTCTTGCTGTATAGGATCTCTGGATAGTTCCTTTCTTGCTGTATAGGATCTCTGGATAGTTCCTTTCTTGCTGTATAGGATCTAGTTCACTTGGATAGTTCTGGATAGTTCTTTCTTGCTGTATAGGATCTCTTCTTGGTATAGTTCCTTTCTTGCTGTATAGGATCTCTGGATAGTTCCTTCTTGCTGCTCTCTGGATAGTTCCTTTCTTGCTGTATAGGATCTCTGGATAGTTCCTTCTTGCTGTAAAGGATCTCTGGATAGTTCCTTCTTGCTGTATCTCTGGA